CCCTCCCCCCCCTCAAATGGCACTGGTGGGCACAGGGGGGACACTCAGAGGGGACACAGGGAGTGGGGGGGGGGGTCAGAGCCCCCCGTTTGGGTGGGCAGGGCGGTGCCACCTCACCCACGTGTCATGTCTGTGTGTCCCCTTCCCCCAGCACGGGTGGCACCGCTCCAGGTGGCACCTTGGCACCACGGGGTGGGGTCCTGCCGCCCTGCCGGGGTGGGGACACCCCCTTTCCCCCTCCCCCCCCCCCTTTCCAGGGGCTCCCGTGCCAATCCCGGATCTGGGAGGTGGCTCCGGGCACGGCGGGGGGGGGGAGGGGGGGGATCCTCACCCCCCTCTGCCCCCTCCCTCACCCCTGCCCATCGAGGGGGTGCCAGGGGGGGTCCCAGGGGGTCCCAGCTCAGCTTTGGGGGTGCCCCCGTGGTGCTGGGGGTGGGCACAGCCCCCCTTTGTGCCCCCCTCACCCCCCCCCCCCCGGGCTGGGCAGGAAGAGGGCAGAGCTCTGGCAGCGCCCGCGGGGCAGATAAAGGCTCCGAGCTGGACAGGGCTGTGCCAGGACAGGGCAGGGCTGCCACCAGTGCCACCAGTGCCACCATGGCCCTGCCAGTGCCACCAGAGACACCCTGACACCTCCAGTGCCACCAGTGCCACCAGTGCCACCCTGGCCCTGCCAGTGCCACCAGAGACACCATGGCACCTCCAGTGCCACCAGTGCCACCAGTGCCACCCTGGCCCTGCCAGTGCCACCAGAGACACCATGGCACCTCCAGTGCCACCAGTGCCACCAGTGCCACCCTGGCCCTGCCAGTGCCACCAGTGCCACCATGGCACCTCCAGTGCCACAACAGCCACCCTACGTTCCCCCTGCCACTCCTACTGTGTCCCCCTGCCACCACAGCCTCTCTGTGTCCCCCCTGTCGATCCCTCTGTGTCCCCCTGGCCACCATGGCCACCACAGCCCCTCTCTGTGCCCACCTGGGTCACCACAGCCACCCTGTCCCCACCACAGCCACCCTGTCCCCACCACGGCCACCCTGTCACTGCCACTGCCTCTCTGTGTGTCCCCCTGCCACCACCATCACCCTGTCCCCACCTGAGCCACCCCACCCACCCTGTCCTTGGCCCCCACAGCCCCTGGGTGTCCCCCTGTCCCCTGATGGGTGTCCCCCTGTCCCCTGACGGGTGTCCCCCCTGCTGTGCCCCCCCAGGATGGCGAACCGGGGCCCGTCGTACGGGCTGAGCCGGGAGGTTCAGCAGAAGATCGAGCGGCAGTACGACCCCGAGCTGGAGCAGCTGCTGGTGCGCTGGATCCTAAACCAGCTGGGCCCCGACACGGCCGGCCCCGCCCAGCCCGGCAGGGACGGCTTCCAGCAGTGGCTCAAGGATGGCACCGTGAGTGCCCCTGACCCTATAACTGACCCCATAGCTGATCCCATAGCCCTGACCCTATAACTGACCCCATAACTGACCCTATAACTGACCCTAAAACTGACCCTATAATTGACCCTATAACTGACCCTAGAACTGACCCCATAACTGATCCTACAGCCCTGACCCCATAACTGACCCCATAGCTGATCCCATAGCCCTGACCCTATAACTGACCCCATAACTGACCCCATAGCTGATCCCCCGGCCCCGCCCAGCCCGGCAGGGACGGCTTCCAGCAGTGGCTCAAGGATGGCACCGTGAGTGCCCCTGACCCTGTAACTGACCCTATAACTGACCCTAAAACTGACCCCATAACTGATCCTACAGCCCTGACCCTATAACTGACCCTATAACTGATCCTACAGCCCTGACCCCATAACTGACCCCAGAACTGACCCCATAGCTGATCCCCCAGCCCCGCCCAGCCCGGCAGGGACGGCTTCCAGCAGTGGCTCAAGGATGGCACTGTGAGTGCCCCTGACCCTGTAACTGACCCTATAACTGACCCTATAACTGACCCTATAACTGACCCTATAACTGACCCCATAACTGATCCTATAACTGACCCTAAAACTGACCCTATAACTGACCCTATAACTGATCCTATAACTGACCCTAAAACTGACCCTATAACTGACCCTAAAACTGACCCTAAAACTGACCCTAGAACTGACCCTATAACTGACCCTATAACTGACCCTAGAACTGACCCTAGAACTGACCCCACAGCCCTGACCCCATAACTGACCCCATAACTGACTGACCCCATCACTGACCCCATAACTGACCCCATAACTGACTGACCCCATCACTGACCCCATAACTGACTGACCCTATAATCACCCCACAGATCCTGTGCCGGCTGATCAACAGCCCTGACCCCATAACTGACCCCA